GATCGATGTCATCCTGCATAACAGGTACATGTAATCCCTACTGAAGATATCTGCTCAGGCACATTTGTGCTGACGATAGCTATGTGAATGCGATGTGCATGAATCTCAGAGGTGCATTGAGCGGAACATTGCTAGAGACGTTTGATAAAGCGATTCAAACGTTTCGCGTCGAGTCTCTCATCATTGCCAGATAGAGTGGGACCTCGGTTTACGTATTACTTCATTCCTGAAGCCCGTTTGTAAACCGAAATGTTCGTAATCCGAAACTATTTTCCAGTAGGAATCAATGTAAAGTAGATTAATCCATTCCTGGTCCCAAGATGATTGCTCATTTAAACTTTAACAACAGTTCTTTGTGCACAAGTTTAAATACAAAACTAATGAAATCATATATTATATAAAACTAATGAAAATCATTAAATCTAAGGAAAAAAAATGAATAAACCCAATATTAAAAAACAGATGAAATATAGACGAACCCTTCAATTTTACCGTACCTGGATGTAGGAGAGTTAATGGCGTAAGTGGAAAGGGAAGGAAAGAGATGTCATTGTGTGGAAAAGAGAAGAAAAGACATGAACGTCTCTTTTTAAAAATAGCGTAGATCTTTGATTTTGCCATATGAAACTGAGAAGGAAGAGACAATATTATCATCATAGAGACAATACCATCAACAATTGTTTTACTTTCCTTTTTCATTTACCAGTATCATTGCTAGCTTTCTTTGGAGTCATTACTGAGGACTGATGAAGGGGAAAAAGGCACAGTGCAATAAAATTGGAAAAGAAAAGCACAGCAAAATACAAGAATATATATAACATGGCGGTCGACTAAGAAATGATTCCGTTCAGGTTAACTTGGTTCGGCAGTGTTGTTTGTGAACTAAATTGATAAACGAGGCATTTTCATCTCGAATATTCTGTTCGAAAACCGATGTGGGAGGTTCGAGAACCGAGATTGCACTGTATTCACTAAAGCGATTGAAATTTTATCAAATTATTAAAATTACGTTCATACATATTAAATGACGCTGCTAAAGAAAAGTGCATTTTTATTAAGAAAGGAGCGTCTCTTTTAAGAAAGGATATATCTGAAAAATTCCAAGGTGTAAGTTAATATTTCGACCAGGGATGACAAGTATAAATTCGAGAACTAAATTTTCCGTACATCACTTGATAAAGTTCCTCAGTCGTAGATAAAAAAGTTTTCGTATTATTCTGGTTCGTATATATATAAAAGTAATTATTTTGGGGGATTTAGGCTTCTAGCAACGGATCTAGAAGAAACCTCAACAGCATGCAGACAGCCGTTTCGTCCTATCTGGGACTCATCAGCAGTGCACATTCACTGCCGAAAATCGAACCCGGCTCGTTTCGATCCAACGCAAGAGTCATACCAAATGTACCATGGGACTCGATAACGAAGGAGACACAAACTATACTCGATATAGCGAGCAATTCACTCAGTTCTGCAGCGATACTCATCCACGTATTCAGATAACTATCTATATATATATATATATATATATATATATATATATATATATATATATATAACTATATATATATATATATATATATATATATATATATAATATATATATATATATATATTATATATATATATATATATATATACTTATATATAACTATATATATATATATATATATACATATATATATATAACTATATATATATATATATATATATACATATATATATATATATATATATATATATATATATATTATATATAACTATATATATATATATATATACTTACATATATATAACTATATATAGATATTATACTTACATATATATATATAAGTATATAATATATATATATATATATATATATATATATATATATATATATATATATATATATATATATATATATATATATATATATATATATATATATATATATATATATATATATATAATGGTATGTGTCTGTGTTACTTTTATTTATGCACACGTGTTCAGTTGTGCCATTTTTAATGTCGGTGTAGATTGTTATTTATTTATCTGATTATTTTGTAGCTTATAATTTAATACAATGACTGAAATGTCCATCTTCTAAAAGTAAGTGAATTCAAAGACACATCGGTTTGGGTCCCATTTGTCTCTCTGTCTGCCAGTCTCTCGGTTTATTTGTCTTGATTGGGGAAAACTCTCCGTCCGCAAGATGGCGACACAGACCTCTATGTAATGGCTTGTCAAATATGATGACTGCGGCGTTACGTGCCACTGACACATGAGATATTCAGCTGCCCAGAGAGAATAGAGGCTGCGATGTTGGAAGGGAATGGATTTATGGGAAGAAAAAGAAACGAGAGGGGAAAAACGGTGGTGAAAAGGTGAAAAATAAAAGGCAAAGAAGAAAAAATATCAAAAAACAACAACAAAAAAGGAAATAAGAATTTATTGACTGAGAAACGGGCCGATAAAAAATTACAGCAACACTGAAAAAATATAGGTGTGTATGTTTGTGGTAGGGTGGGTATGTCCGTGCGTGTGGCGGGATGTGTACGCGCGCGCGCGTGTGTGTGTGTGCTTGTATTTTATTTATATATCTGGATGTATACATATATAAAGTGAATATATATGCGTGTGAACATATATATATATATATATATATATATATATATATATATATATATATATATATATTATTAAATATGAGGAACAAGAAAAATTTTATTGATATTTTATTTATTTTTTTCCAGCGTTTGGTGTGAGTGAGCAAGTACAAAAATGTACATATGGTCGATTACCCTAAGTGCCGCTTTCGGCCAATTCTTTAGTCATTGTTTTTCACACTGTTTGGTGTTGTTTATTTTCATGTTTTGACTGTGCGTGATGTATTATTTGTGGAGTATATTAGGAACGTTAATTCTGTGTTAAAGAAGTGAACGAAAGCTCTTGGGACAATCGAAGATATAGGCACTTTTCGTATTCGCCCACTCCTACCAAACGGGCAAGTGTAAGAACGCTGGAAATATTTATGTAAATACTCTTTTTTTTTTTACGCATTATTAATTACATTTTTTTTAAAAAGCATTATTAATTACATTTATTAATTACATTTATCGGACTGAATGTTCGAGAAATTTCGTAGAACATATACGTTCTTCAACAATAATCGAACCGTTATTTGATCTGACGTGCTATACCATTTCGATACAGAGAGGCTTCTGGTTATCAAAGTCCAAATTATAGTTTTGTACAACAAATCTCAACGATCTTTCATAAACGATGATATTTGCTCATATCATATCATATTTTCTACGATATATATATATATATATATATATATATATATATATATATATATATATATATATATATATATATATATATATATTACAAATCAAAGAAAGAACAGATGGATGGAATAAGAATCCACAGTTCGTAGCATTTACTTTTTAAAAAGTGCTCAGTACAAAGTAGAGAAAATATTATTATGATATTTTTCTTATAATAGATTACAATAAAAACATATTACATCACTACACAAAAACCTCCATGTTCCTTCTTAGGGCGATGGTAGATAACATGTGATAAAAATGATTTATTTGGGAAACTGGAAAACAAATCGTTACCTCTTTTGAAAGTTAAAAATATTAAAATAAAAACTAGAATTTGTAAATCCTTACATGACCCATGTCCGTTGTGTTTACAAGAAAAACTGCATATTATTAAGGTTCCTAACAATAAAAATATTTTAAACCAAAGAAATGAATTAACGGTTTTAAGCCGGCATTGTCTACCTTTCACGTTAAAATATAGTTAAAAGAATTTTTTATAAATAATTACGCATTACAATTACATAGCCATTATTTCATTAGTATATAGTGATCCACCCAATATTTATTTGATTTTTCAGCTTTAATATTGCCATGTTTTACCGTCCATTCAATATAATTATCATCGTATGTAAATGTATATTTTTTAACTTTACATACTGGTCCTTATATCTACTGAATATATCTATCTCAACTTTATATTTGATTACATACACACTACTTTTGTCGCTGATATGTCTGAAGCGTCACTTCATCTTCAGATGAATTTAATCGCCCATCTAACTTCACTATCTGGCTTTATTTTTGATTTTTCTATTTTAGCTTAGATCTGTCTTTTAATTGCTTAATCTAGACATACACACAAGTATATTTATTAATTCTGATTTTAGCCGCCCCTCACACTTTTAAATTACAAAAGAAGTAATGATTTGTTTTCAAATTCCCAAATAATATTTTATTATCACAAGTTATCTACCATCGCCCGAAGAAGGACCATTATAGCTCAAAAACACAGTTTTTTTGTGTGTAGCGATGTAATATGTTTGTATCTTTCCTATTATATATATATATATATATATATATATATATATATATATATATATATATATATATATATATATATATATATATATATATATATATATATATATATTGCAGATAGATTTTACTTTAAAAAGAACGATTAATTAGCTTATCTTCATAACCTGCCTGGTGGCAAATGCTGCTGGTGGCGCCAGGGGTGGCAGTTCTGCCATACCTACCGAAACCATGATATCACCCCTGGTCGGCGGCTGATGAAGACAGGGTATCACACGTGCTAACACAGGTTGTATGTTAAAAATTATATATATATATATATATATATATATATATATATATATATATATATATATATATTTCGCCATTTAATATATACATACAAAAATAGATTAAATGTTGTGTTTCATTAATAAAATCATACGATAGCTTGGTCTCTTTGGCCTTAGTTAGCAGCCAGTCTAAGAGAAGGATTATTCTTGAATATGATGGAGAAAGTAGCGGCATATACACTGGAAGAAAAAAAAGAAAATGCGTGTAGAAACATAAAGAAAGAAAATGGCAACTGAAAATGTTTATGTTAGAACATATATAGAAGTAGCTTGTGAGATGAATGCAAAAGAGTGAAGGAAATCGATATAGTGAGATTTAAGAGGTTGAGAAATAAATAAAGAAAAAAGAAGGAAATAAAGAAAGGAGCATGAATGAAAAAAAGGGATAGTATGAAATAAATAAATAAATAAATAGATAAATAAATAAATAAATAAAGAAAGAAAGAAAGAAAGACTTGGAAACGCGAACGAAATGAAAGAAAAGAAACCTAAATTAAGAATTAAAAGAGAAAAAGAACTAATAAAGTGGAAACGCAAAGAAATGGATTAAAGACAGAAAAGAAAGAAAGAAAGAAAGAAAGAAATGAAAATGTGAACAAATGAGTTTAAAAGAAAACTTAAAGAATGATTTAAAAAGAGAAAAACGCGATGACGTGGAGAAGAGAAGTATTTTCTTTTGCAGAAAGAAAGAAGAAAGAAAGAAAGAAAGAAAGAAATAAGAAAAAAAAGAAAGGAAGGAAGGAAGGAAGGAAGGAAGGAAAAAGAAGAAAAACCAAGAAAAGATAAAAATTAAAAAAGAATAAGAAAAAAAAAATGAACCAGACAAAGAAAGAAGGAAGAAAATCGAAAAAAGAAGGAAAAACTAAGAAAGAAATATAAGAAAAATATAAAATAGAATAAACAGAAAAACGAAATAGAAAAAAAAGAAAGGAACAAAAAAGAAAGCGAAAAATAAATGAAAAATGACAGAGATAAAATGAAGAACAAAAGAAAAATAAAAAATGAAAGAATATAAAGAAAGTCATACAAATAGAAAGAAGAAATTGAAAAAATATAAAATAAAATGGAGAATAAAATGTAAAGTAAACAGAAAAGAAATAAAAAAAAAGCGATGAAAAAAGAACGAAAGTAAGAAAGGAGGATGCAAACAAGGAAACGAAATTAAAAACAATGATCTTAACAAAAATCGACCTCCTAAGAAAGTTAGAGATGAAAAGATAGAAGATAAAGAAGGTTCGCACTAACCAAAAAGGCAGTAAATAAATAAAAAAAAACGGGAAAGAAATAAAATGTAGAAACAGAAAGAGACAATTCAAAAAGAAAATAAATATTCATCAAGAGGAGAAAAGACTTCCCTATTGTTAACTGAGAACCAATATCTATGTATAAATGGAAACAAAATCAAATTATCGACAGACGAATGGTTAAAGAAGAACAATTTTATATCTATAAACACAGCCACCAGCAGCGACCCTTATCTTCAATAATACGACAATCACTGCGAGCAGCAGCAGTAGCGGCAATAAAATAACACCCGCCAACGCCATCAACAGCACAACACCAGCGATAATAAACCCGCTTTCTAGAATAAATAATATGAAATTCTCTGGTAATTTGAAATTCACACGGATCACTCAGACCAGACGAGTGAACAAGATCAAGTTATCGGAAACAAATATATAAAATAAAAATAAAAACGAAGAAAAAGAAAAAGAAAGGGATCTGAGGAATCGATAATGGATGTTCTTGTTGCAATAGTCTACATAATAAAATAGTCTACATAATAAAATTGATAGAAAATAAATAGCAAGGGAAATATCTAGACTTTAAAAAGGAAGGGATAATCTTGTGTAACACAAAGTTTACAGCACCTGGTATTTCCAAGCGGTAACCCACCTAGGTTCTAACCAAGCTCGTTGTTCCTTAACTTCAGTGATCGTACGGAAACCGGTGTTTCAACGTGATATGGCCGTAAGACTGCAAATTATGGAGATATTTAGGATAGACAATAGTTCACCCGGAAGATGAAGATTGTAATGGTTCGTGAAGCGTCCTCTTGGTAGTGTTTTCCACAAATCAGCGACTCTTGGGAAGAAACAATTCAAATGGAATTTCGCCTTACCAATTTTATGCGAAGACAATGAGTGTCTTTTTACCCCTGTATAAATTACTTGGCGGTTCTTACCTGTAAATATCTCAGAATTTTTAAAAATAAAATGTCTCAGTGCATTTGTTTTTAGGGCAATTCACCCCAAGCAAGGCGGGAGTGCCACTAGCACGCAAGGGGTTACAGAGGACTGAGAACAAGAGTAAAGAGGCGTGTTTGAGGAAAGAATACAGAGAAGGAAGGGTAACAATATCAGGGTGTCAGATGTCGATTGACATTACTCTTGAATATTTGAAGATTATAGTCATCGGGGAAGCAAGTAAGAGGAAGGGAGTTCCACAGACGGGAAGTGCGGGAGAAGAAGCTGTTTGAGAAGAAGGGACGATTACATTTCACCGTTTTAAGCTTGCAAAATTGCGTCTTTGAGAGTAGGATTGCAGGATAGATATTATTAATTTCCCATGATACCTCTGTAAAGCCTACAAAAGAGACTACGTTGGAGTACTCCATTTTTCGACTAACATGACATGTTAACATACAGTCTGATAGGAGTCAGGTAGTTTTTGGAAAGGTATAAGGAGGTAAGCATTTTTTCAGCATCTTTACCAGTGGATCGTATATATAAGTTCCATTTGAGGTGTGGGATTAACATGAGTTCTAACAGACGTTCAAATCGTGGAGCCGTTATAAGAGCACAACCATTCACCGTGATTGGTTAGTTATACTCATCATTATTGGCGCACTTGGAACAGTACTGATATGTCTTGGAATGATTTTGGGGAAAATAGCAATACAAAAAACGGAAACCATCCAAAATTACATACAGCTGGACTTTCTTTTCGGTGTATGGCTCTCTGTCTAGGTAATCCCTATTGCAGAGGCATGCTGACGCACATTGCTGCATGTTCAGCACACACACAGAGAACTTGGGATTTATATTGCAACTCTGCTGATCAGACCCTGGTTTTGGGGATAGATCGGATTAATTTGGCGAAATCAGCAATTTTGAATAAGACCAGTAGTCTCGAACCTTCTGTCACGTTGAATGTTGATTTCGCTTACAAGGACTGTTTTTTTTTTTTGTCTTAGACACATCCCAGCCATGTAGTACTTTGGTATCCTCTCTCCAATCCAATATTTTCATTAGGTTACACCCTTCTCAAATTGACCATGATGAGATTCGAACACGAGTCTTATACACAAAACGCTAAAATTCTAAACACACCAACACGCAGTCATCCAAAGAACCATTATATCAATCTGATAGATGGAATAAATCACAGACTGAAAGTCAATTCGTCTGGAAGCAAAAGTTTTTATTGCTTTGGCTCATTTATTTTTTAAATACGTATTCGATATTTGCATGGTTTACAGATTTTAACAAGAAAATACAACGGCCATATAATAGTCAAGGTGTCAGCGAGTCCGACGGCAAGTTGTCTTCTGATGGAACGTTCTCTATATCAAATAATAATGCAATGAAGAAACAAGCACAGTCAACAGTTTTAGCAATAAAAAGAAATAAGAACTTTATAAAATCCCCTACACACTATCAGTTACTCGAGTTTAATGTGAGAGGACATATTCAAAACTAAAGATCATAAAGACAAGGTTAAGAAATTCATAGTCTGAGAAGAATTTGGTATCATACATGCTATCTTTCTAAAAGGAATTATTGGATGGGTTGGATGCAGAAACAATTATTGGTAGATCTAAACAATCATTTAGTAAACACAAACGACAGATCTTAATATAGACAACTGCATACAATGCTCTATTGTGCGTTGAACTATCTGTTAATAAGTAGATTGTGTTGTAAACTATGTAAAAACATTAACGAATTTCTAAAAATAAACTAAAAACAAATATAAATATCAGTCATGACATTCTGTTTATGCAACTAGTGTCTACTGCCGGTAATATGTGCAATATATGTACACTGTAGTTACTAAGAAATACATATTTTTCAACTAAAAAATAGTTTTACCCTTTTTCATATGTATTTGTTCAAAATTTATTCTGAAAGAAAATGATAGGATTGTAGTTGTGGGTGAGCCCACTGTGTCTCCTGGCAACCAATATTTTTAAACCAATTTCGCCATTGTAGATAATTGATGATACAAGTACTGCCCTTGTTTTGTTACTCTCCTCTTTAAGAGAGCTATTTCTGTTTACTGGGACTATAAAATGACAATATACGTAAACCTTGTATTCTCAGTTGAATAAAGCTTTCTTAAAGCTTATACCTGCGTATTTTTGTTATTATAGAAACATTTGCGTTCTCTTCAGCTGCAAACGATAAAATCCAGTGGTTATTTTTAGTTTATTTTATTTTTTTTTTTTTGTAAAAATGTTTCAAAATTGAATGTATATATAATTTCTATAGACAACAAGCTAACTTTCGGAGAGTGAAACAAGTTTTGAAAAGTTAGACGAAAGCTGTTTTTTTTTATTTACATCATTTACAGTTGGACAAACGTCCACATTTTTGTCCGCATGACAATATTTAAGCCTTATACATATTTTCGGATTTCGTTGGGAATCTGTTGAAATTTCCAGCAGAAACATGTGTTTACCCTACGGGAGTAAAATTTTCTTGTTCTGTTGGATATCTCGTCTTGATTATTTCATCGAGTCAGTAGGTTATATAATTAAATGGTTAGAGGCTTCTTGGATTCGGCGCATAGTAATTGTGAGTTCAGTCTTTGGGTTGGGTAGTACTAACTTAGATTCAATTGTAACAAGGCTAACAATAAGTGTGACAGAACAAAAATAACTATAATAAATAAATCAGCACATATGCTAGGCCACAAAAATCTCCTGAGCCGACCAAGCATAGAAATAAATACAATATGGGAACCAGTAATAAGGAGTGCCAGAGAAAAGCAATGATAACAAAGTTGCAATATGAACTCTGGTAAAAAATGATGCTGAAAACATTAGGTTTATAATACTCAGAAGTTCATACCCAGAAGTCCTCAAGGACACATGGCACAGTGGATAAAGACGTTGGTTAGATCCAGTGACAGACCCAAAGAAGGTGAGTTCAATACCTGGTTAAGGCAGTAGAGAACTTTCAGAGGGAAAATTAGCAGGAGATAGCTGATAACTGACATCCATCAAACATGGCACGTGGAACTAGAACAGTCTACCCAGTGATCGAAACGAGAACAAACTACATCCATCGTTAAATAAATGGTTCAGCCCAAACATACCTGAGGATTACAGGGATTGACAGATATCTGAAGAAAGTAGGATGATTAATGTAAGATGAGGCTATTCGTCCGACTAATGTAATTAATAATTCCTCACCTCAGATACACCATACCCGGTCATCGAACTATCCGACTTTGCTTTTTAAATATTTCCTTAATATAAATATAATATAATATAAAATAATTTCCTTTAATATAAGTCGCCATGAAAATTCATAGACAAAATGATGAATAAATTCGGATACGACCCAGTCGTGGTGTGAAAAGCTGCTGCATGTGTGATTTTTTTTTTCAAATGTCATCCTTTTTCAGATGTTGGAGATCATGTCCCTTCACAGCTTCCTTCTCTACTTTATATATGAATTGCTATGATTTCTTGGGGAATATAGTGAAGTAGATTCCTCTTACCATCACCACAGTTTCGAATTTAAAGTAGACATTTTCTAGACCGGTTGTAAACCAAGTATATTTAACCAAGCATACCCTTCTAGTTAAGCAAGAAATTGGGGGAGAGACAGTAGATGGTGGAAAGTAATGGGAAGATATTGTGGAGAGATTGTGATTAGATATAGTGAGGAAAAAGACGAAGAGATAGTGGAGAGAAAAGACAAGAGATGGTGGAGAGAAAACAGAAGAGATGGTGGAAAGTAATGGGAAGATATAGTGGAGAGAAAGAGGAAGATATGGTGAGAAGAAAAGGGAAGAGGTGGTGGAGAAAAAAGAGAAGAATTGTTAGAGAGAAAGAATTGAGAGATGGTGGGGAGAAAGAGGAAGATATGGAAGAAAGGGAAGAGATGGAGAAAAAAGAGAAGAATTGTTAGAGAGAAAGAATGAGATGGGGGAGGAAAGAGGAAGATATGGTGAGGAAAAGGGGAAGAGATGGTGGAGAAAAAGTGAAGAATTGATAGAGAGAAAGAAAGAGATGGTGGGAGGAAAGAGGAAATATGGGAGGAGAAAGGGGAAGAGATGGTGGAGAAAAAAAGAAGAGATGGTGGAAAGATATATTGATAGAGAAGAAAAGGGAAGAGATGGTGGAGAAAAAAGAGAAGTGGGAGAAAAGAAGAATGGAAAGGGAGGAAAAGGGAGATATTGTGAGGAGAAAAGGGAAGAAAGGGAAAAAGAGAAGAATTGAGAGAAAAAGAATGAGAGAAGAAAGAAGATGGTGAGGAGAAAAAAGGAAGAGATGGTGGAGAAAAAGAGAAGAATTGTTAGAGAAAGAAAGAAGAGATGATGAAAGAGGAAGATATGGTGAGAAGAAAAGGGAAGAGATGGTGGAGAAAAAAGAAGACTTATTTAGAGAAAAAAAAATGGTGGAAAGATATTGTGAGGTGGTGGAGAAAAAAAGAGATGGTGGAAAGTAATGGGAAGATATATTGGAGAAAAAGAGGAAGAAAGAAAGGGAAGAGATGGTGGAGAAAAAGAGAAGAATTGATAGGTGAAAAAGAATGAGAGATGGTGGGAAAAGAGGAAGATATGGAAGATATGGTGGAGAAAAAGAGAAGAATTGGAGAAATGGGGGAGGAAGAGATGGTGGAGAAAAAGGGAAGAATGGTGGAGAGAGAAGAATGGTGGAAAGAAATGAGAGATGGTGGGAGGAAAGAGGAAGATATGGTGAGGGAAGAAAAGGGGAAGAGATGGTGGAGAGAAAACAGAAGAGATGGTGGAGGAAATGGGAAGATATGGTGGAGAGAAAGGGAAGATATGGTGAGAAAAAAGGGAAGAGATGGTGGAGAAAAAGAGAAAAAAAAGAATGAGAGATGGTGGGAGGAAAAGGGGAGATATGGTGAAAGAAACAGAAGATGTGGTGGAGAAAAAGAGAATGGGGAGGAAAGAGATATAGAAGATATGGTGGAAAGTAGGAGAAGAAGATATGGGAAGAGAAAAGGTGGAGAAAAAAAGAGAAGAATTGTTAGAGAGAAAGAATGAGAGAGATGGTGGGAAAAGAGGAAGATATGGAGGAGAAAGGGGGGAAGAGATGGTGGAGAGAGAAAGAGAAAGAATGGAGATGGGGGAGAAGATATGGTGAGAGAGAAAGGGAAAGATGGTGAAGAGGAAGATATATTGGAGGTGGAGAAAAAAAGAGAAGACTTGGTTAGAGAGAAAGAAGAGAGATGGTGGGAGGAAAGATATGGTGAGGAGAAAGGGGAAGAGATGGTGGAAAAAAAAGATAAGAATTGATAGAGAGAAAGAAGAGATGGTGGGAGGAAAGAGGAAGATATTGTGGGAGAAAGGGGAAAAGAAAAACAGAAGAGATGGTGGAAAGTAATGGGAAGATATATTGGAGATGGGAAGATATATTGAGAGAAAGGGAAGAGGTGGAAGATAAAAAGAAAAGAGAGAAAGAATGAGAGAGAGGTGGAAGAAAAGGGAAGAGGTGGTGGGAGAGGGGAAGAATGGTGAAAAAAGAGAAGAATTGATGAGAAAAAGAATGAGAGAAAAGATAAGATATGGTGAGGAGAAAGGGAAGAGATGGTGGAGAGGTGAAGAAGAAAGGGAGAAAAGGAAGATATGGGTGAAAAAAAAGGGAAGAGATTGTTAGAAAAAAGAGAAGAATTGTTAGAGAGAAAGAATGAGAGATGGTGGGAGGAAAGAGGAAGATATGGTGAGAAGAAAAGGGAAGAGATGGTGGAGAAAAAAGAGAAGAATTGTTAGAGAGAAAGAATGAGAGATGGTGGGAGGAAAGAGGAAGATATGGTGAGGAGAAAGGGGAAGAGATGGTGGAGAGAAAACAGAAGAGATGGTGGAAAGTAATGGGAAGATATATTGGAGAGAAAGAGGAAGATATGGTGAGAAGAAAAGGGAAGAGATGGTGGAGAAAAAAGAGAAGACTTGTTAGAGAGAAAGAATGAGAGATGGTGGAAGGAAAGAAGGAGGTATGGTAGAGAGAATCATTACAATCCTTTTTACCCAGACGAAACATCACAAGCCTCTCGCGTCTCTGTCACTATTTCCATGGAAAGAGTTCAGACGAACTGTATTCCTTGGCTTCCCCAGTTGTAATCTTTACAGCTAAGGCCCACCAGACCATGCACATTGTAGTGAACCACACCCATTCACTTCTTATTCCACTAGAACAGCTTCTTACCACGAACAGCTGCCTTGTGAAATCGATTCGCAAGACGATGCAACTACGATCACTTCAATCTTAACTAGTTCAAGTCATAGGTTAACTGTTTTCTTCCCCATATATCATGTAAATTGTGCCTCTTACACTGTAACAGTAAAGTGGCTCTATGGCCTGGTACAGGGTGAGCATCGTTGTAAAAAAAAAAACGGACATGAATTGACTATCGGAGTCTGAGGTTATTTTGAAACAGCAAATAAGTTTGTTAAATTATTTATTAGATCGATTGTTTAGTAATGTTCATTTTTGAGAGCCATCGTAACGAAGTGTTCCTTAATTATATATGGTAAGAGGTGATGAAAATGGGTTACATACGATAATGTTCAACTTAACACGCAGTGCATTGACAAGTCTAAATCTCCACAACCAATCACAATAGCTGAGCGCCACAGAAGAAAGAAAATGTCGTGCGTGTGGAACGAAAGTCGGAAAAACAGCGCATAACTTATCTAAAGATGTTGTATATTTGGATATCAGATCAGAGAATTCATCTTCAGTTCTTAAAACACAATGAAAAACTAAATGCACATTTCTATATCCAGCAACTGAAAATTTAATCGACCAACACTCTGCACTCACCAAAAGGAAAAATGATGCGTTTCTCCATGTCAACGCAAGGTAGCATGCTGCTACAATAACGCGGTGAACTATTTTGGGTCTCATTTGACCTGGTCTGTCCCGTCCAGCGTATTCACCTGACCACCCAGCAATCGATTATTAGCGTTGTTGATCGCTTTAAAACGGGTTAATGAATTTTTTTTTCACTATTCAAAATCAGAAAATTTTATCACGTCAAAGCACGCGTTATTTTACTGAAATGGTATCGTAGAATCGTCGAATAAGTGGCATTGCTAATAATGGTGAATATACAGGACGTCCCTAAAATCTGCGCACATAAGAAATCTCATTAACTATATTTTTACCTTCGGAGATTAAACATGGTTTTATCGAAAGTAGAAAGAATTGACTTCTTTTTCCTGGTCTATGTTGAAGGAGACAGAGTTCTCAATAAAAATCCCAGATGCAACACTTAATTGAACGCATAAATAGTGAATATGATAAAACTGTCGGCAATACGGAGTTATTGCGTCGATTTCCCGTGAATCTTTCAAAGTGCATCAACCTTTATGTAATGACAAAAGTACGCAGGTGTAGGATTTTAAGGAAGCTTTATTCAACTGATAACACAAGGTTCGCTTATAGTGTCCTTTTATAGTCCGAGTAAACAGAAATACCTCTCAAAGTGGAGAATAACAAAACAAGGGGAGACTACTCTCCATTATTCATAACACTTTACATCACAAATGATAGAAATCATATTGAAGATGTTATCTGTTAATATTCCAATTCAATAAAGTTTTGAAAATTTAATTTCTTGAAAACATACATTTTTCGCTTGTGTAGAATTGAATAAAATGTAATTGCAGTTTATTTTCAAAGGATGAAAACTGATAAGCGAAATCGAAAATTATTTATAGCAAAATTTAATATTATTTCATAATATAATTTCTTCAAAGACGACAAAGTGCGGCTAAATAATTTTAATCTATTTAAGAAATAAGTAATAAAATTTAAATTAAGTTATTTAGGTTCTCGTAAAATAAGGAGTCATAAGCATCGAGCTTTTCAATAAGCATGAAGAAAGCGAATGTAATGAAGGAAAAACATTTGTATTGGAAGGGTTCATCATTTAATAACAAACATAGATTTTAATTCATTGGCTCAACGGATAAATTCCAGTTGGAATGTAATCACATTTGTTCGACACGTAGCCACTTTCTGTTTCAGTTTTAAAACGTGCTCTTGCAAGCACTATCAAGCAAACTTAACTGGCTCAAAAAGATCACCCACTGAGAGCCCGGCCCAGCCATAAAAATCTTCCAAGCAGGTTTCCTTGCGATGAGACATCGATTTTGCCTCTCTGTATCAACTTGAGCCGCCACAAGTGGTCAGCAGTGGGAGGAAAACTGCTCAAACGGCTTTATGAACGCGAGCATTGTGAGCAAAAAGAAGAAAATTAACGGGAAAATATTTTCCTAAGTAGAGACAGCAGAGTGAATTGATAACGAGAGCGAACAAAGATGTTGGCACAGGTGGTCATGCCGAGGAACACAAAGAAATGACAGGAGTAAGAGGAATGAGAATGACTCGCTTTAATAATTGACTTATTATTTGTGAAACAAAAGCAACGAGCACCTACCAACTGTTATTATGGAGAAGTGCGTTTCTGTATAAGTGTTTACACACAACGACGCACACTCGCTTTTCAATCAGGCATTATTTTCTCTTCATATTTTTTTTATTACGCTTGCGTTAACGCATACATTCAGAGACGTTCATCTGCACGTACGAAAAGTCATACTAGCACTTTTTTAACTTCTACCAACATCCATTGATTCCTGAAAATGTAATTCGGACATATATAAATTTATCTGTCTATATTTCTGAGATGAGGTACTATGTACACTATTTACATTATTCGAACTATTGTCCGCATCTTTGTCGCTATATTTATTATAACGTTTCGGCTGATTTACGCTCCGGCCTTCTTCAGGTGGTTGGAATGTGGAACTGAACCCTTTATTTCCTCAAGGACACATGACACAGTGGATAAAGGCGTTGGTTAGATCCAGTGACAGGGCCCAAATACCGTTCAATACCAGGTTAAGGCAGTGGAGGACTTGGAGAGGGGAATTAACAGGAGATAACTGACAAATGACATTCATTAAACATGGCACGTGGAACTAGAACAGTCTACCCCAGTGAGCAAAATAAAGTGTTCTGTTCGACATTCCAGCCACCTGAAGAAGGCCGGAGCGTACAACGGCCGAAACGTTGTAATAAATATGGCGACAACGATGAGGACGATAGTCCGAATAATGTAAATAGTGTATATCATACTTATTATAAAACCCAGGTTGTGTGTGTGTGTGTGTGTGTGTGTGTGTGTGTGTGTGTGTGTGTGTGTGTGTGTGTGTGTGTCTGTACGTTTATATATTGGATCGAATTTCCTACATTTTTCAACCGATTTCAACAAAACTTCACAGCATTACATAAAATTACCTTGCGGTGGTTCTGACAGCGCCAAAAATTGTTTTTGCGCGAAATCAATTTGCAAACACGATTAAGAGGCATCGCGAGAATGAAAGGGGGACTACTCATATCGAGTTATACTTAAAACCCAGGTTGTTTGTGAGTGTTCATTTATATATGGGATCAGATTTCCTACATTTTTCAACCGATTTCAACAAAACTTCACTTTTTTGGGGCAGGTAGTGTTTCTTATTGTCTTGCATATTTTTTTTTATTTTTACATTCAGAATGCTTTAAAAATTCCATTTAAAAGACAATTGTTTATAATAAAATTCTATTCAATCGGTAGACTCATAACGATTGTAAACAATGTTTTTGTTTGAGTTTGAGTTTGACCAATTTGTAAAAAAAACAAAAAACAAAACAAAAAAAAAACAACTAATTAAGACATACGTGTCCATCAATCTTAAACAATAATCTTTGTCAGTTTTATTTTTCAGTCTTTATGATGGTCGATACTTGATCTATCTCTTACTGTTACATTCCCAGGCAACGCTGGGCTCTACTGCTAGTAAATTTATGTTTGGCACAACATCTGAGGTTAACTTCTTTTTCTTTTTACTTACTTTTTTCTCCTTTTGTTTAAACATGAAATCGTCATGCCGAGTTTATATTCTAACCGAAATCGTTGTGTTCATTTATCTACAAATATATATTTGAGTAAGGTCGATACTGATTGCCTCTCCTCATAGATATGGGCTAAATAGCAATGTAGACTGATCACTCTATCATTGATTGGTACCCTGACTAGTAGAATGAAAACTTTGTATTCAAACCTAAGACGGACTTTTTGGAGACTTCTTGGTTCACTTTGAACCAATTGTCTGGCATCAATTCTTCGGAAACGTCCCTGTGGTTCTACACAAGATCTCCTTAAATCATATGTAGGTAATCTCTCTGGCGAAATAAACTATTGGGCACTCATACGTGTAAATCAACAGGAGACACGCCACACACGCGTGCAAGCACACACACATACATATATAAATACATACACACGCACACACACACAAACACATATATATATGTGTGTGTGTCTGTGTGTGTGTGTGTACACATATTGTACACACACTAATCCACACAAACATTTACTAATGATGAATGGAACTGATATTCTTATATGTGTAACAAAGTTATTAAAATAAGTATTATCAATATTTGGTAGAAAAACATATTCTGAGAGAATAAAATTTAAGGAAAATTACTTTAAATTTTGAGAAAAATAAAATTAACCAAAAAATAATCGTGCCAAATCAAATAATTTTTATGCAGCTACTTTATATATTTGTCGTTTTACCTTCCGGACATGAGTGATCACGGCTCACCCCAGCTTCCTATCCTTTGTATTTCGTAGCAATATTTGTCCTCTAACTACACTACCAATTCTCTGATCTGATATCGAAATATACAACATCGTTAGATAAATTATGCGTTGTTTTCCTGTGCTCGTTTTGTCCTTAGTATGCCAGTGCCTGTCAAATTCTCCAAGACTACGTTCCTGTTTACGTGTCCTAGAAATTTTAATTGTTTCTTTCAAATTCTAAGTAAAAGTGTCTTTATTATTTCTATTTTCCTTAAAATTTCCTCCTTGCTTACATGTTCCGCAAATGTTATTCTCAGTATCCTTCTGTAGAACCATATCTTTAGTGTCTCAAATTCTTCAGCTTTTCTTCATTTTTCGGAAGTTGTCCATCATTTATTCT